CTGGCAGATATTTAGTAAGTAAAATAATTTGGTAGCATTTTGAAAAGGAATTATATAGAACGTACTTAAAAGGAGAAACAAATGCAACTTCTTGTGCAAGGATGACAACAGCCAGTAAACACAGTAAAACCCAGCCAGTGGCCAGCAAGTACGTAGCCCATGAGCTCATGTCAGCAAAATCTTGCCTTAACCCCACATACTAGTTTTGAAAATTATTGAAAATACAAACCTGATGCAAGCAGCACAAAGGTAAAGGAGTTTTAGATACTACTTTGAGTGCCAGTCTCACACCTTACTAGAAGGACATGCAAGATGCCTCCTGCTTAAGCAATGCTGTAACTTTGTGGGAAGACATCTAGAACTTTTGAAAAAGCACAAAAAAAAGAGGGCTAACATAACTGTTAAGACTGGAGCATCTACACTGTGTCCCAAAGCATTTTCAGCACTAGCTAAGTACTACTTCCAACAAAAGTATCTCTAACCTAAACCAGCAGATACTTTAACCTCTGAAACCTTGGAGCTATTTTCAGAGCCACACTTCTGTACCCAATCCATACTTCTCAAGTACAGACCTATCACCAGTAACCCCAGTTAAAGACCAATACATTTATTCTTGAAGATTATCTGTGCAGATTTTAATGCATTCAGATTTTTAAAAGATGCATCATACCTGCACCAACCATGCTGTTCAGAGACTGACTGAAGGTCCTGCCAGGAGACCACCATTACAGCCACCTTGGCTGTCCAGTACACACACCTTCATGTTCAAACTGCACAGCCAGGGGAAGCTCAATGCGATCTGGAGCAAGATATCTTTGTGGGGAAGGGAAATGGCATAGCTCTCCTTTGATTTATCTAGTCTCTGCAGACCCAGAGGAGAAACAGACCCCAAAAAACAGGTACCACATCATTCACCCCTAGTAGAAGAGTCCCTGTGCAGTCTTGTCCCATGCAAAGCAGTCTTAGAAGGACAGTGCTACTTGAAGCCCTAAAACGGGGATGATTCAGAGACAAGAGCTGCTTGGACTTCCTAGCAGTCACCATCAGGACTACTCACTCCATGTCCCCCAGTAGCACTCTTTCCACCCAGCTAAAAAAACAAGACAGGAGTTGGTTTCCCATGGAAATACAAAGTAGAGTCAGTCTAGCAAAGCAGAAGGGTTGCTCACAGAAGACATAGTTAGATAAGAAGCCTAGCTGACAACCAGAATCCAAGGCAGGATCAGCACAGTGGCATACCTGCCAGATAAACTTAGCCCATACAGTGCTAATTGCCCAAGTAATGCTGATTCTTGTAAGACAGCTTGATCCCAACACCATCACCCCCCAACAGTGCATTCATGGAAATGACCTCATAGCATACCACAAAAAAAAAAAAAAAAAAAAGGCTCCATCATTGCTCAAATGAAACTGCAAGGCTTGCACTGGGTTTTTAGCAAGGAAATGGAAATCATGCTGACATACAATTGTTCCACCCCCGTGTTCGCCTTCACACATTTCTTACAGGTCAATGTTAAAGAATTAAGTCTTGTTCAGCTAAACATCTGGTGGCTGTTGCTAGAGGAAACAGACTATCTGCAACATTTGAGCAAAAATAATGAGTTACATAAAAGCCAGACTGCATAAGCAAGAACAAGCGTTTTGCCAGTCTATGAATCTCAAACATTACATGAAACCCCATGTTTAATTTTTGGGTTAGAATACAATGGCACTAATCTATACACATTACAGAAGCCATGAAGATTTGACTTTTCTCTAAGTTTATGAGAATATAATCATGCTGTCATTAACCTTCTAGTAGCAGCTGTCCTGAAGATTTTCTGTAAACAGCAGACACAGATGAATTATAACTTAAAAATGGACCAGTTCAGCTCTAGGCATTTTCAGACTTAGATCAAGTCAGTACAATTTAAAGTGTTATAGAACATGGCTTTGGTCATTAAATGTGAGCTATGGCACCCCCCATACCTAATGGAAGAATATTTTTCCTTAATGTTGCAGAGGAGCTTTTTGGTCACTGTCCCCTTTTCCTTAAGAGTTTACTGCTACACTGCACTGAATAGGAGGAGTAATTTTGTGGAAAAAGTTGAGAAGAATCTCTATTGGCATCACCATTCAAGTCCCTAAGACCAACTAGAAGCCTTGTAAGATTACAGATCTTTGATAGGGGCTTTACAGATGATGAAGTCCCACAACAGAAGCAGCAGCATTCCCAAGAACATCACAAGCAGCGTAGCTCTAATATACTGGAATTGCACTTCACATTATGTACCTTTCTACAAATAGATATTGCTGTTCTTTGAGGCGAGCTTCAGCACTTAAATAATCCAGAAGCCTGATGGATGACTAATACAACTAGAAAGCTTCGCATACAGAAGGATATTTTAGCTACCACACATCATCAGGACTGCTCTCAATACGCAGCCAAAAAACAGCAGAGGCACCTACAGCTTTCACTGCTGTCTCCCTCTTTTTTGACATAGGCTCCAAGACTTTGGTTCCAGCTAGCTTCCTTCAGCACCACCTGGAGAATTCCACTCTGCACTCAACCCCAATTACTTAGTGCAGCATTCTTCTGTGCAAGCTACCACTGGTCCAGGTCCATCCCATACTGCCATGTGTTGGATCTACCACTATGCAGAAAACCACTTCAACACACCACTTAGTAAGCACAGGGGAGATGTACGGTGTGAGCAGCTGTTTAAGCCAAGAATTTAACTAATTAACCAGCAGCTGCTGATGTTCTTGTTCATTTACACAATCCAGGAAAAAAAACTGCCCCTAAAGTCAGATTTTTCAAGCTGGACATGGTTCACTAAGCACACTGGAGTACAACACAGCAGAGTCAAGAGCTAACTCCTCACTCACATGGACAATGCCTGTTTCCAGAGCACAAAGGGAAGAGTGGAAGCACCTGGCTCTGGTTTCACTGGAACTGGGAAGACATTAGGTCAGCACACTTCTGCTTGGGGTCCTGAGGCAGGAACACTCAGATGAAGACATCAATGCTCCTTGAACAAGTAAGGACATGAGTCAGGGTGCTAGCTTGTAGAGGATTATGGGCAAGTTACGAAATGGGAAAACCAGAACTTCTTTAAATACTAATTTTAAATATACCGAAATATAAAAGCAGGCAGAAATGGGATACAAGTATAAGCAGCTTGGGAGCAAGATCCATGGCTGAGACAACAGCACTTTTCCATGTCCCAGAATTGATAAAGAATTTCAGTAATGCATTATCAACTTCTACTGTATTAAAAAAATACATGATGGGTCTCCTTGTTGTCTCACTTATCATTCATGCTGCCTGTGATAAGTCTGTGCTAAGAATCCACATCCTTGTGTGTAAGTGGCTGAACAGAAAGCAAGGGGGGGAACAAGTCAGACATTGTGAACTAGGTAGGACCTTCATGCAAATGAAGAAGCACGCTATGATCCCAAACAACATGGAAATACGTTGATCTGATTAATAAAAAAGTTCCCAAGATCCCAGACATCTTAGAGGCAGGATGAAGAAAAACAAGCCAGTGACCTCAGTCACAAAAGAAACCCTCCACAACATCACATCAACAAAGCTTCAGACTCTTTGGGGGCTTATCTTTAAGACAAAACAATATAAAATGAAGCATAGTCAGATAACTACAGTCCCTGTTGGACTCGTATGAAGATATTAAAAGCACTGTACTGCACCAGTCTGAATTGCTTAAACTAAAGACTTTTCAAATAATTGATGGTACTCCTACTATTGGCACCAAAAAATGATAAATCAGTTTTAGGGGATGAAACTGCAAAATAATTTGATACACCATATCAAGTAAAATTGAAAACAGATTTCTCCTCCAGGCTAGAAGCTACTGAAAGCATGAAACCATTGCCCATCCATCTGCCCCCCACTCCAGCTGAAATTACCAAAAGGCAAGAGCTCATTAAGCTTTCTACATACAAAATGCAAAATGGAAATGACAATTTAGAAAGAATTTGTTTTGTCACATCATTTTGCTCAAAAGTAGAAGCAGTATTCCCAAAGGATGGTACACAATTATGGCCTTAAACAAAACGCCTCAACTACTTAATCAGTATCACTTAGTCTGCCCTGGCTTGTGTTCAAACAGAAATATAGTTTGTCACTATACGTATGTTTTTTCAGAAGTTCAGAAAGGAAAATTTAGTGCCAGTTTCACTCCTGCAGTACTCATGTCCACCCAAAGAGCCCTCCTGCCAAGCAGAGACATGCACTGCTCTCAAGGTCATCACTTTTATCAAATCAAAACACTTGCTTTTTTGTTTATTTTCATCACTATTGTCTGTTTCGTGAAATCATGGTATGTATCCACACCGCGGTCAGTCAAACACTCTCACCTACAAACGTTATGCCCTTTGATTTCTTTGTTCTGGAGAGGAAAATTTTCCCAACACCTCCAGCTTTGATTTTTCTGCTCATTTCATAGGTCAGTTGTAATAGAAAAGGCAACCCAGCGCATATTTTACTTGTCGCACTGGAACAAACGCTTACATACAGAGCACACTAACCCTCCTCCCGGTAACAAATTTAAACCACTCTTAGAGAAGCTTCAGTTCACCACAAAAGACTTTGGACTCTCCCCAAGTACTTTAATCCTACCCAATTTCCTTGTTGGAGATATTCATCACTGACAAGCAGCACTGCAGCTACCTGCCTCTCAGCTCAACATGTATATTTCTAAAAATAAAACCAGGAACAGTAGTTAAGGGATGCAAGTTCCCAGAGTTCCTTCAGGTGAAAAATGCTGACAAAATTGAGAGGAAAAAAATGGAAACAATGAGAGTTGTTCAATTCTTATTCATTTGGGTCTTTAAGCATCCTTCCACAGGCTTGACAGATATTTCACGTACCCTGGTTATAAGTTACAGGATTTTATAGAGTCTTCACTTATATATGGTTGTTTTGGGATTTTTTAGGAAGGAATACTTGAGTTGCATGCCTAGATGTTCCAGAAAAATCCAAGGCACATGATACTCACCACACGTTTTGTAACTCACTTATGTCTGTTATCTGAAATCATGGGGTAGCAAGTGCTGGGGCACAGGAGCAGCAGAGAAGCCAGCCAGTCATATCTGTAGCGAATCTGGAAGAGAACAACATTTTTAGAAATGCAATAGTTCATACAAGCAACTTCTAATCTTGCTTTATTCTGCTAAAAAAAAAAAAACAAAAACCAAAACACAACACCCAACAACCACCCAAACATTGTTTGCAGTTTTTAGTTTAATATTCCGGCTTCCAAGTATACTGTGGATGAAACAGAGCCAAACACCTCTTCTTATAGGAAAATCTAGTATTTCTCCTTACCTCTAGTCAGGGCAAACTAACAGCTTTCCATGCAGTAACATGAGTTTTAGTTCAGAAGATCTGAAGTGTTAAGCATTTTCTGAAAATATAGATGTTTCTGGTTCTTCAGTAACTTTGGGATTTGTTTTTTTCTAAACAGTGTTTCCCCACCTCAGGGAACCCCACAGGTTCCCAAACCTGAACTCTCATGATGCAGCATCCCTGGGATGGCTCCATCCCCTGTGATGCTCCAGACACTTTGGTCAGAAGTAAACACAAGGGTTTTTTTGGTTTGTGCTTTTTCCCCCCCTTAAATAACACCCTCCAAAGCACATAGCCTATAGGGCAGCACAGGGCCCAAACACGGATTTCTGAGGGGGAGTGTGCTAGAACAGGGATGCAAAAGTCAAACCAAAATGAAACTATTCCTGGAAAACTGCCCAGGGTGACCAGAGACACACTGTTCCGGTTTACATTCAAAACTTGAGCATTTAAACTTCCTTTGGAAGAAAACACATGCATCATTCTAACAAAAATTACAACTTTAACTGCAACTTTAGGTTCTGAGAAGTTCTGCCTGTCGTCTAGAAGGCAGGTTCTGCTGACACACTGAAAAGCCGCATTAGACTCCCTTACACATGATGCTCTGATAGGGGCTATAAGCAATCAGGCTACCCAGTGACTAATGGGCATTCAATGTCTATGCCTAAACTAGCACTTTTATCCTTATTTGCCTAACTATTACAGCAAGGTTAGAAGTTTAAGGGTCCACACTAACCTGCCAAACTGCTTGTTCTGTTAGCACATGGGGGGAAAAAAATGGTCACTCTTTGACCTGGCCACAGAAGGAAACCCTGTACCAGAGAGCATTTTTGCTTTCTCCAACATCAAGTGCAAGATAGAATGAAGTCACCATCACTGCGCTGCCAAGAGACGCTGCTTTGACTGAAGCACGCAGGAATTCACTCTGCCTCTGCCCCGTACTTTCGTAAGCTTGTTGTCCATCCAGTCCAAGCCACATATGTGCTCTTCCAATGTCATTCATGGTTTCTGTCCTCAAGAAGCTAGGAGGATTGCTTAATGGCATTGTATAAGACTTCAAAAGTATCCATGAGCTCACAACAGCTGTCATTAATTAATCCTTGTCTACAATTATCCAGCACCAATTCTTGAATGAAGCCAACCACTGGGGTGAGGAACACACACCACTGCTCTGTGGCTTCAGCATACAAGTGGTGAGTGACACCCATTCTTCTAAAATGAAAAGGCATTAGGTAGTTGAATATATCCCCCAATATTAAGTTTATTGCAAAATATTTAAGGCAAGCTTTTGTTCTACTTGATGCTAAAGTTGTTCCAAGTTATTTGACTGGGTCAAAGGCTGTAGCCAGGAAGAACCAGCCAAACTTGTACCAAACTAAGCCCTACAAGAAAGGGAAAACACAAGCACCTATATTCACAGGGCAAGAGAGACTTTGTTTAGTTACTTAACATCACAACCCTAAAAGCACTCTGGGGCAAAGAACAGAAGTATGCTATTAACATGACAGTCCACGTTTAAGTGCTAAAGACCCTTTAACCCAGTGAAGCTTGCTCTTTTGCCACTTTGAACAAACCCCAATTAAACTTAGGAGGAAAACCAAAAGTTGTGTGTAAGAATTCAAATTGGGTTCATTGGTCAGAAGCTGCCTCAGTTTCTTTACATACACACCAACCTTTTTAAGAGGTGGCAACTCTGGACAAGGAAGCTAAACAGAAGATTCTATTTATAAAGCACTCCATGGTACAATGATTTACTTTAGGAATAAAAGTAAATAAATCATCTCACGCTATCCTAAGGTTCAGGTTCAAATAAAGGGTTAGATATTATTCATGTTCTGCTCGAAGAACAAGATGACATGCACATTACAGTGGAGTCAAAGTGTAAGATGAGAAAATCCTCTGCACTGGTCAGCCTCTGCCACTCTCCCACTGACAAGGCCAAGCGACAAAAACTCATCCCCACCTCAAACGAGACATTTACTAACAGATCTTTCAACCTGCAGCACAGCAAACACAAGTCCCCCCATGTTCACATAAACAGCATTTTGAGAGCACCTGAGGTTCACAAGGCAGAGCTCAGTTTCCGTCTTTTCCCTGGCCATATACCAATGGTGCTGGGCTCACCCAGAAATCCTACCCTGTAGCAAAACAGCTTAAGCAAAACGCAGAGGAGCACAAAGTAACAAAATGATTCAGCTCATGACTGCAGCACACATTAAACCCAGCTGAGAAGCCAGGAACCTCATTTAGTTGCAAGCATGGCATGATACAGAAAGACACCTCTCACAGCAACAATAAGCAATGGTTAACATGAGAGAATATGTGGACGACCTGGTTGGAAAACTAGTTTATCATGGTAAAAAGCTCCAGTCTTTCCTTTCCCAGATAGTCTTGCTGTCCAAAGCCTAACATTACGCAGAACCCAGGGGACCATGTCCCTTTGTGAAGGGAAGACTAAGGCAGCTGAAAGAGCTGCTACAGAAAGAAAAATGACAATGAAAGAGGCAGTCTGAAACCATGAACAGCAAGAAGGACACTTTCTAGCTTTTAACAAATAGTTAAACTTTTTTTGTGTGTTTAATTAGCACCTCCAGACTCTGAGCCCATTTCCTGTGACATCTCCTTGATGGCACTAACTAGGCCTTAGGCTTGGTGACACACATCGGCTTGAACTCAACAGACCTTGGCTTCATATGACCACACAGAAGAAATCTAGAATCCTTTGATGAGGATGCTCTGCTTCCTGCCGGACAGCTCACTTCAGGAGGAAGTAATTTATTTTACAGAGTGCCAAAACCAGAAGGATATGAAGCATCTGGGGGTGTGGAGATGGGCACTGGTCCCACCCACCTGTATTCAGGACATGCTCCTCTGCATCACTCAACTGCGGCAGAGCCACCTCTTCTCAGCACACTAACAACAACCAGTATTTCTGTTCAGCCCTCAGAGGCCATGGTATTTCAGATAATGACCATCACATTGGCTGGAGAAGACCCACAGACCTCCAAAACCTCTTCCAACTGTCACTGAGAGAGAACAAGGCTACACCAGAAGCTTTAAGCCTTGCTAGATGTTTTTCCTCATTACTTTTCAAAGCAAGGAGCAGATGAGAAGCTTGTTTAAGTTTCAGAGTAAAAACTAACGTCCCTGAAGGCAGTTTGTGAAGAGAATATATGTGCTACCTTAGAGTAGACAACCAGGTCTTCCGTATCGACTGGGGGCTGGGGAAATATGTGCCAGCCTGAACAGAGACACACAATTTCCAAGGTGCAGCACTTGAAAGTTTGGGGCATTGCTTCTGCCACAGCAGGGAAGATGACTCTACAAACCCATTCCTTATTAGTTCTCTTCGGAAGCTGGTACAGTTTTTGAATCTTTTGTACTTCAGCTCATTATTATTTTGTTACCAGTTAGCAGCACAAAACTCTGGGTGGTGCTTAAAAAAAAGCTTGTCGCCTGTGAGCTTGAGGCATTTACAGTCTTAAATTAAAGCATGGGAACAATATTAAAATTCCAACTTAATGGACACTGCCCTACTTGAAAGTCTTCAGACTGTTCTGCATGGCAAAAAAAGGTAAGTCAGCTCCCAACAGCATTAGATGATGGAACAAAACCTCAAGAGCAAACACAATGCTCCAGCATTCACGTCGAGCTCAAGCAACAAGAACTTTAGCGCACAGAACATGTAGTTTCCAGAAACAAGTGCCTTATTTGAAAAGCAACCTATGAGTCCTGGATCAGTGTACGTTCAGGTGAGGAGGTTTTCAACCAAAGCATTCCACACCCATATGGAAAAAAATAAGGTCTCCGTAGACCATTTGTGTTGTGCAGGAAAGCCTATTCAGGAAGCCTCAACAATACTAGTTTTGGCATAAAACTTTAAACATATTTCTGTTTCAAGTCAAATACATAAGCATTCAAAAGCCTTGTCTAGAAAAAGTCTTGCATTCCCTCTTAGGGGGCATCATTTTTCTGAAGGACAGAAGCATGCAAACAATCTCAGGGTGAACACCATGTTCATCAGTTTCATTTCACAGCCCAGTATTGTGTTCTCTTCGCGCAGACCTTTAGCCAGAGCTATGTAAAGAAAACCTGGAACACCTTAAACAGCAAAAACCAACCCCAAAATATTAAGACAGTTTCAAAATTTCAAGAGTAACATTTTGAGAGACTCCACAGGTAATACCTTCAGTAAGATATCACTATGACAATTCAGGAAGCCCAGAGAACTTAAGCTGTTTTATGCAAGTAAGAGGAAGGAGTGAGTCCCTGGTTTTAAGTTCAATCAGACAAGAGCAGCTAGAACATAGCATCTGCACTTCCATCCACCTCTGGTGGCTTACAGAAACCATTAACATATCACTCAAAGGACAGCAGCAAAACACCTAAAGCTGTGTTCTCCCAGAGCCAAAGAGGTGAATCAAAGAATACGGCCCATCTAGCTTGACCTCCAGCCTGAAATAGCAGCCATAAGCCAACGTCTGGGAAAGGGAAAGAAGAGGGTAAGCATACATAACTTTTCCACCTCCAGTGAGCTTTACGTGTGGGCCTTCCCAAGTCCATTTGGGCTTCTGGTTCAGGAATATTCGGTGCAGCCTCTTCACAAGGATGTCCAGTTCCTCTCCAAACTCACCCAAACTTTTTGTAGCCACAATAGCCCTTGGCTAGTTCAACAAGTCTACTATTCACTGCCTGAAACACATCCTCCTGCTTCTTTGGAACCTGCACTGTTGGCTCCACCTGATCCTCCCTGAA